TAGAAAAATGGATTTAGTCCCTAGAAACATTTGCTTAAGTCATCTACCATCACCCTTTCCTTCTTGCATAACCAGATTTTGCTGGGGACTACATGAATCACAGGAGCTTTATGTAAATATTTGAAAATAGGTTCAAAATGCACTGCTAGAATTTCACTTTATTTTACAGATCATTGCAATTGTCTTGCTCCCTAGTGGCAAAAATCTGCAGAGAATAGAAAGATKTCAGCCACATTCAGATTCTGAAAATTCCTTTTCAGACAAACTAGGTGGAAATAGTGCTYTTGATCCAAAATTCAGGTCCCATCAGAGAAACATTTCGGACACATCAGCTGGTTAGCAGGCTCACTCAGTACTGCTGCACRGAGATGGCAGAGTGGCAGGAAGAGCAAATGTCATGACACAGGAACTGCAGCGCTGTTTGAAGTCATGGGCCAGAATCTAAAASCCCTAAATCTGAATCTATTCAAAGCAGGAATTTATTAATCTGAAGAAACTGCTGGATAATGCATTTACATAAGAGTGTTGCTCCTTGATGATGCATTTAAACATCAATTCACAGCTCAGCTTTATTAACATGAAGTATTTTATTTACTTTACTTACCNTTTTTGCAAAACCTGTTTGTAGAATGAGTAAAAGCCTGACCAAAAATGAAGAATGTTAAGCCATGTAGTTAACATGCATCAAAGGAAACTGATTATCAGTACAAATATTCACCACTTGTGAATATTTTATTTACTATATTAACATAGCTTATCAGCACTGCTTCATTTAAATGGTTTTACAAGCCTCTTGGTTAGAAGAGGGTCTTAAATTCAATTACAATTTCTTCTTAAGTGAGAAAATAAAAGCAAGCCCAAGAGGCTACTAGATATTCTACAACTTGAAACACTCCATATTTTTGCTATTTGTTCAGCAAACTTCAGAAGCACAAAACAGCACAGAATCTTTTACTTTTGTATTCTAAATCAAAAACGGAACTCTCTAATGCTTAACTTCTGAGGCATTGCCACTGTAAAACTCAAGAGTTTTTCTACAGCTTAGTCTTAATATTACTAAGCTGCTCAGTTATACTCTCASAAAGCTGCTCAATGAAGAGACTGGCTCTTCAAGGTGAAAAGACTTAAGTTTAGGCTCTGCAGGCTCGAGCAAGCTGCTGTTTTATTTTAATGTGAATTGCAACAGSATTGGCACTGAAAGCTGCCTGAATTTTGAAGCTCAGATTGTAGCAGCAAGCAGGAGTTTGCACAAGGAATGGCTTGATTTGTGAACTATATAAGAATTCACTAAATACTGGGCAGGATCCAGATGTAACAGTGCCAGTTRCTTTCTCCCAATCCTTATAACATCATACCTTTACTGGTTAACAGTGGGYCACAAAATGGTGGACTCTTGTCAAATGCAGTTTTAAGAGTGTTTTGCCCTAAAAAAGCCTAATGAAGCATGAAGTGAGAAAGATTTGGGAGTAGCGAGTGTGGTCCAACAAAACCTACCTGCAATGAATGAGTGAAAATACGTATTTTAAATGGCCTCTATTGGATAAGATAAAGAGTCACATGTGTGGTCAAAAAACATACAGCACTCAGCACAAATGAACAAAATCTCTGCCACGTGGCTGGGGCACAAAAAAGATGCCAAACYAAATTCTTTACAAACATCCTGGATGCCTGTTACCATTCAGAAACTTTTTATGTTTTAACTGAGAAGTTATTTTGATTCCTGTCAAAGACATGACTAAAAGTTTATCAGGGCTCATTGCAGTGTTCCTTCACTTTTCATTAGCAGTCTCTCGAAGCACATGGCATAGAGGTTTACAAGAGAAAAATGTCCATGCACAGAATTTAGAATGAAGCCACGCAGAAAGAAAAGATTCTGTATTAAAAAAACGAACCCTTAACTAGTCCAGACTGTATCCAGTAGGTTCTATGACTATGTAATTATCTCTGCCAGATTAAGACATCTAGGGAGTAAGAAATAAAATACATTTGACCCAAGAGGAGGAATTTAACACTAACAGATAAAAACATTTTGTAGAAATGGACTTCAGTTTCTTGAGGGAAGATGAAATAGAGGATGTTAGGTGTGCTTGACATCATAAGAATATTTTTTGATGCTCAAAGAAACGGACTGATTTGAGTGTTCYGGACAGTGGTCAGGTCATTAAGTWGTGAAAATGCCAAAGCAATTAGTGTCATATAATCAAAGTTTAATGAGAAGTCTGAGTTAACACTTTTGATTTTGGGTGCACCACCTGAAATGGTTTTGAAGTGTACTTTTTGGTGCTTCTTCCACACTATCTGAAATCTGCTCCAACACTTGTGTCTTGTTCTGAAAAGACCTAACACCTGAAAAGACGGAACAGTTGTTTTTCTACTCCTTGTCTCCCCTTCACCATTTTCTTGGATGAAGAACCTCAATCTCCTCCCAACATAAACGGAAGCAAACTAGGTTTAAACATTTGAAAAGATATAAAGGTTTATTAAATGAATCCAGATTTGACAGATATTACATTAAATTAAACAGCAATAAAGTTTTACTAGGGTTTATGTACAGATCACAGTGATTTTCATTGTGCAATGAGGGCTGACTTTGTAACKTTGAACGGTACTTACACATGTGAGCTACAACAAGCAACCAGCAACACACAACATTAGCCCAAGTTAACCTTGCAAATCGAGCAGTCCAAACTGATTATGCAGCACACAAATGCCTGCTACCACTATCACTACTTACTACACAATGGAGTATTTATAAAGCAGTCAAGGTTTGCCTAGAAAAGTGCAAAACATGGGAAAGTCTGTACACAGTACAGTACAAAAAGGAATCATGCTACAGYCATTGAAAGCTGAAAAATAATTCTATAGCATAGGAAGCACTGCATCACAACTCTTCTGAATGGCAAGCAGAYAGGCTGAGGAACAGCCACATCTTCTTTGCTTTCAAAACTGTAAAATCCCTGTTCATCCATTTAAACATAGTTTAGTACCTATATTTGATCCATAACAATGACTTTCTACAGTGGAAGATCACATYAGTTAAAGCTCAGTAGCACACATATTCATTGATCAAGCTAATTTACAGGAAAATCTACAGCATATTCTTCATTCAAATCATGAAGCATTTATATCATTTGGTTACAAGGCAATTGAGTTTACCATTCATGTTTATCACTTAAAACCTCAGATTGGGCAATTAAAAATATATATATATAAAACTCAAAAATAAAGGTTGTTTTTTTAATGTTTAACATTCTTGTTCACTAATGTAGAATACCAAAGTCCTATGGGCTCTCTTGCAAGACAGCAGTCCTTATGCAACAGTCTATACACAAAAGTACACATTAACAGAAAGCATCAAAGTAAAAYGAACTTCAGAGAACACCCTACTTGAATACAAACTAAAAAAATGTCCTAGTCTTCTTAAAAAAACTCCATAAATTCAGAATTCTTAGTGCAGTTTACCTGCATGAGCACTCAAAAAGACTACATTAGTGGGCCATGACTCCTGGTAAAGACTTAAAGCAGACTCACTTGTGCAAATAAATAAAACGGCCAGGCAACAACACATTAATTCCAGAACTGAAGAGAAAGTAACTGATTGCTTAAAATAATGCTTCAAAAATGTTTTGCTTTTTATCTTTTAGTTCAGGATTTTGATTAAAAAAAAATTGAGAGCGGTTTTGTACTAGAAAGCATGCTGACGAGGTCAGTAGTTTAGGTGTATGTACACATGGCTCGGAAACAATGTAAAGTCAATGGGTTACCATTATTAATAACATTGTCTTCACTTCCTTAGTCTCTATCATAATGAGGRTCAGTGCATCCACTGCCAGCAATGGATAAGATTTATAAAAAGAAAATCTGTTATCTCCTGTTGTTCAAGCATTCACGACTTCTACCACCATTGTGGCACATTATTCAAATATAATTTCATTTCCTCAGATCTGAAGACTTAAACACAGAGCAGCTTTGAAATTTGAAGAAAAATCCTATATTTAGCACACTTTCTTGTTGCAGTACGTACCTCTTTAAATAAGAAACTGATGTTGTAGTATTCAGAGTCCATAAAATACCCTAAGCCTGSACATTAAGAAAACTCCCTAACTGCWCCCCCTTAGACAAAGTGATCTGAGATTTATGTGTTTCAATTTTTCCAACTGATTTAGAATAACTAATTCCACAGATACAAATATAGTGGGCCAGATTAATTTTTTTAATGAGAATAAGTTACTTACACTAGGTTAAAATTGTCATTTCCTATAGATTGTCCTATAATTCATTATACATTCCTACACAATATTTACTGAGTGGCAGCTGGGGCCATMAACTTGAATAACATCAAGACCTCTCTGTGATATTCCAGAATTTTGAATAATTTTGAAATATCCTGATTTTCTTACACATTGTGCATTTTTGCAAAGTTAAACAATCTATTTAAGTAAGCATTGTTTTATGAATAAATAGTGAACACCCTAGAAATTACAGATTCTCAATAGCACTTCTGTATTTTTTAAACAAAAAAAAAAATGGAGGTCACTTTTTCATAAGGAGACTCCAGTAACAAATCTGGCATAAAATCACAAATATGGTAATTTTGTGATCACAAATCTAGCAATTACTAGAATGCCTACTGTGTAGGCTTTCAGGATTGAGTTTAGAAAAACAAATCTCTGGCCTACATTTCTTACCGCATTTCAGATCAAAAATGTGGAGAGTGGKCTTTGGGAAAAACTGTCCATGATCTAATTAAACAATCTTATGTAGAGCCATGAGTCATAGTAGTGGAACTCCAGTGAGCTGATGCGCTCTGAGAAAAAAAAATGGTGKAAATACGGTAATTTTATTAGAAGTTACCTAAATCCACAACATCYTAAAGAATGTAAATGCTTTTTGCAATTGAAGCACTTCAAAATCAACTCCCTTATATTAACAMAAGTATCACAACATGTAACATGAAAAAAACCCTAAAAAAAGTAATTCTGACTTGTATACAATCTACCTTCATGTTTCTGTGCATTCATATACATAGATGCATACATGTGCACATACTGATATTTAGTGCCACTCAAAATGAAGCAGTATTTCCAAAAYAGTGTGCTCAAGCTGCTAGAAAGATGTTAGTACAGGATGAAAAAACAGACTCTGTGCATCTAAGGTTTGAACTCTTGTACACATGAAATTCCTGGCAGCAGGGACTAGGACATTTTCAAAAAAGCAGGAGCGGAAAAATAAGGCTGTACTATTAATGTGGTCTTCCTTCCGATATTCTGAAGAGCCCAGCATTCAATAACAACTATTTCACTAATGAAAAAGGCCTGTTATGGCTCATGCTTTACATGTGGAGAAGACAACAAGCTTGAGAAGGAACAACTCTTGTCAGAGCCAGTTAAAGCCCTTTTATCAGTATGCAYTGACTTGCGTGTTTACAGAGAGTTTTCATGTGAGCAATCTCACTTCAGACAGTGTATAATCACTCAAAATTCTGGTTTGCAAAGAGACATAATTGTAACAGAACTTCATAAACTAGCTATTAAGATGCATCTTAAACAACAAGACATGCCCTTGTCTTTCTGCTTTCAAGTACTATGGTTACAAGTGTGAGGCATTGGAAATTTTAGGTACAAATCTCTTTTAAAACATAATTATTTTTATTTTTTACAAAGAATTATAAAATGTATATAAGATGATGAAAACTCATTTATCCTTTTWAAGACTTTTATTCCTAAAGAATTTCTTGAAAAACATTATTTGAAAAATAAAAATCATAGACTCTGCAAAGTACAAAAATTTACATCTTTGACAATTCCTGTGCTTTAGTTGTACTGTATTCTTTATATACATATATACTAATTTGTGCTTTTAATTACACAAGTTTAGTATAAACTTATAAAATTAAGTCTATGAGTTAACTATGCAAAAAGGATCTGGGAATAGCAGGAAACTTAACCATAAGTTAAAAATAAAATCCTAAAAATATCGTTTTAGTGAGTCTACTTCAGAGCAGACTATCATTATTACAATTTACYAAACTAAAGTCAAATGTTTACAGCAAAAAATCACTCCTGCCTGCCTCCATCTTTTTAGACATTTACTATATACTAATACACATATCTGAATGCAGTATCATTCTTAGTCACAAAGAAAATCTTCATTTATATCTGAAATCCATTGTTCTTCAGACTTGCTCTTAGCACTTCAATATACTTCCAGTCTCTAAGACAAAAAAAAAGAACACAAAACACAAGGTGGAGTATTTGAACTCAGTAACAAGTACCAACCTATCACAGTTATAAGAGAATATCCAGGGTACAGAATTAATCTGACAATCTTATTCCTCTAAAGTCTGCATTCTTAATAGAAAAACATGAAAATCAAGAAATATCACATTTCATTCTGTCAAATCAATCTAGGTATTACTTTTTAACAGACTATTTAAAAAGATTTAAAGACAGATGCAAATAATTGTACTTTAAAACAGTATGCAAATGACTTTTCATCACTGTAAAAAAACCAAAGCCTGTGAGAACGGTGATCTTTGTCACTCCACAACCCATTACGAATCAGAAAACATAATTTCTCCATATGGCTCCTACTCAACAGATCTGCAATGTTTTCAAGAGYTCTCTTGACATTTGGACATACCTTGTCCAGTGTAGCTGTTGCTTTCAGAAGTTCTTGAAAATTTCYAGATCTTTAGGAGGTACCGGAGGTGTCTTGTTCCAGTCATCTTCAGGATAAGCTTCAAAATTCGAAGTATCCCCATCATTGGATACTTTGGGCACTATGGGAGGCTAGTCAGAACATGCACAAAAAAAATGTTAGCAGTTTCCTAATTGAGCTCCTCTCCATCATACTAAAGGAGAAATTCTGTAAAAGCCATATTAAACAAATGGAGCACAGATTTACAGTTCACCTTTTCCCTAATAATGGCATGACAAAGAGGAGCTTGCAGCAACACATACACATTCCCATACTTTGTCAATTTTGCAGTTAAATAATGTGGTTAAAAGACACTTAGATAATTAATACACTTAACACTGATAGCAATTTTATTGAGTGCTAGTTTTAGTTGCTTCGCAGACTGAAGGCAACTACTGCAAAAAATTACTACAACTAAACTTCCAGGCAGRTGCCACCATAGCATAATCCTCTCCCTCGCTCCTCTGCTCTTCTGTGGCCTATGAACAAAAAGGTGTATAGTCACATTAGATTCTTTTCAACTAAGAGTATCAATGGGAAATTGCTTCCAATTTAAAGGAAAAAAGCCTCATTTTCACTGCTTTCAAATAGATGGATTGCTTTTAAAAAAGTTGAAATTRCTACCTTCTGTCTACCTACTATGGTTTTTCCTAAGCTAGCAATAAATTCAAGCAGGTAAAGAAATTGCTTCACCATAACTCAGTACACAAGGATGGCTGTAAAAGAAGTTTAATACATATAGATTGTTTTTATGAAAACTTGAAGGTGCCAAGAGAAGTATCTGTTTTCTATTTGTTTTCTCAGAGGATCCTTTCAATTTCTAGTATTGCTCATMAGCTTCACAATACCTGTAGTTTTAACTTGTCTTAAATCTAACATTGAAAATACTCTCAACTTCGGGCCATAGACTACAGGACAAAGATCYTTTCAGGAACATTTCATTAATTGCAGGGGTTAATGAAGGCAAACCCTTTTTCTTCTCTCAAGGAACATTCATCTCTCTATCCTCTTCTCAGCAACTGAGAGCTTAACTACCATGCTGAGTCCAACAGAACACTTAAGAATGAGAAAACCTTATGGATGATCACTTGAAGTCAGACCACAGGCAGAAGTACAAAGTATGGCAAAAAGTTATTGTGCCTCTCCTCAAAAAGATAAAAGTCTGGCTTCCACTAGCTCATGAGATCTTGTCTGATCTTCTGGGCTTCTCAAAATGATGTCATCATCAGTAGGCTTTCAATGGGAAAGTAAGGGTCCCTGTAAGATAGTGCTTCTAACTTTCAGCCAAAAGCAGAGTCCTAATTTTGTGTCTGGCAGTCAGTACACTGCCCAGATGCTGAAGAAAATGTGCAGAATCTGCTCTGCCCCAGAGAACTGTCTGCTCCAATGTGAGTAATGCCTGATACCCTACTTCCCTGTAAGCATTTTGGCAGAAAAAACAGTTTTGTGAAGAGACACACAAAGAAAAAAGAAAAGAGAGAAAGGATGATGAATGGAAKTATTTTCTCTCTTTCAGCCATTACTGTTATTTACATAATATTGATATTAAAGACCTTATTAGGCCCATGATTCAATGCATTATTTGCACAACAGAAAAATGCAAGCTTTTTACAGGGAAAATGAAAATATGAAATAATGCACTCAATGCTCCAATCTCTTCATCAGTATGAAATTGTGAAAATAAATTCTCAAAAATATAGCTGCCTCTAGAAATAACCAAGTAAAATTCTGATCCACTTCACATCCCTACTCTTAAGTTTAATTAAGCATGATCTCATTTTCTAACAGCTTAATGTCACCATCACGAAGATTAAGAAACAAGTTTTGTATTTGTAATCATCTGAATGATACAGTGACTATTTTAAACTTTTTTCAATAAAATGCCTCACAAAGAATGTTTGGACCCGAGACATTTAATTGTACATCTAATGATCAGTTTTTAATACTATTTGTGTTTTATTGCTTTGGTTGTTATAAACTTTGGAGTTTATATACTTATGAAACAGATTATCATCCAGTGTGTGTTCTTTGTAGATTTCACTGAACAGAATTTACAGCAAACAGCTAGGAAAATGTGACTTCCTTACAACACATATACATAAAACATCAACTGGGTGGGTAAGATTAAAAAAAAACCAAATCCACAGTTTTAAAATACTGCAAGCTTATTTTTCTTAAGGAGAAAAGTCACCCACAGCTTTTGTATTAAATGCTGTTTACAAGAATATGTCAAGAACATTTTAATCTTGTCTCTTTTTTTTTAATTCAAGAACTCAATTTAAGATGCCTACCCAAAAATTAAGTATAAGAAACTAATGCAAAGAAAAACAAATGTTTAATTGGTACTTAATTGACTGCATATGGCAACCAAACCTCTGTTACAGAAAAATCAGTGCTGTAAGGAACTGTATGAGTTAGAACTGTAAGGAAGGAAAGGCAGTTTTACTTCCAAAGGACTTAAAAAAGCATTTTGCAGTGTTGATAGTTTTTGCAAACATCTGCCCTCATACAATACTAGAATTCAGTGCTGTTAAAAAGCATGTTAGAATTACATTCATAAATCATTCTTTATCACATTCCCTAATCTTCCTAGTCCCATATGCTTTACATTTCATTAGAACATTTACCTGAATTGAACTTGGCACAAAAATTTAAAACTCAGTGTAAAATACTTCCATAAATGCAAGGACAAGGAAAATAAAAAAAAAAAAAGAAAAATCAAGCCAACAAACTACCAATCTCCTCCACCTCCCCAAGAAAAACACCACCTACAAGTAATCACAAAACCCTAGACCTGAAAACTAAATTTTGTTTTAACTAATCAACTTCAGCAAACCAAAGCAGGGATTTTTTYAGACATTTCATATATAGACAAAAATGCAAATAGACATTCATACAATTAACATTGCATTGCAAAAGGGCAAACATGCATTTAATTAAAGTGTGCATATAGACGTGGTTATAAACACACTAACACACAGATGCAACAGCCAACAAACCTTCAACAGATCAGCTTAAATGAACAATGATTTTCTCCTTGTGATGTCCTATACAGTATTTGCAGAATGTACCTTTAGTCTCCTTTGAGGTACAGCATCCCAGTCTATAGACCTGAACCATCGATGTCTCTTCACATCATCTGCTCCATTCTTTAAAGAGAGAAACCAAAATAACTATTTTGTAAGCTACATGTATGCCAATCCATGTATTTCATTACAAGAACTGGGATATCAACATAGTGTATCCTTTTTTCTTTTTTTAAGGTGATAATCATGAAAAGATTCTAAAGGATAAATTCATAGTGTTAATTCTCTAGCACAACCTGAGTTCCAGCAATAAAACCCAGATGTTTTTRATTTGAGGTTTGTGTGGGGTTTTTTTAGCATTCTTTTGACACAATGGAGATCAAAAACAGACTTTAAAGTATCCACAAAACCATTCACTACATTTTTATTCACTTCTGTTTTCTCCAATATTTTAGACAATGCCTTTTATTCAGATATAGTTCCTAATTCTTGCACTGTTAAAAAAAAAAAAACAACAAACAACTGAGAGTTGATGGTGTTTTAAATAAAAATAATGTCTGGAAGCACATAGTTTTTTCAAATGTTACAAATATTTAATGCTGATAGCAAGAGGTTCTCAGTACTATTACAATAATAAATATATGAAAACATTTGTTTTCATTTTACATATAGTGTTATAAGGTATATAAGGTTAATATATAAGTTATAAGGTATACTTGCCTTGTAATAATTATTCGCTCTGGGCTGCCTGTATTGATTATGTACGTAAGGAAGGAAAATGTCTTTTTTTTTAATGATTAAGCTTGTTTCAAGTACAGATTTATTTTTAAAGCCTCAAGCACTGAGGAAAAAAGAACAGTTTATTCTCTGTCTTAGGCCTGATCTCTGCACAGCACTCAAGATTATACTACATAGAGCTCCACAAAATGAAGTATATCACATATTCGGGTTTTTTTTCAGATTTATGTGGAGCAGGACTATATCTATGCTTATATCCAATCAGGCATCAAGGAGATCAGTATCACCTGGTTCCCTCAAAAGCAGATCTGTCTGAATGCTGCACCAGAWAATGTCCAATGGGATTCACATCTTTTTAAACCAACTATGATCATGAAAAAGGATCAGACACAAGTCTGACCTTCTGCTCCCATCCTAAAATCTGCTTTTAATTAGACCTGGTTTTGATGTTGCCATTTTAGTCAATTATAGGGAAAATCCTAAAACAAACACTCAGCAACCATATACTAAAAAACCCCAATACAACACAAAAACAAGACAAACACCCTTCCTAAAGCCCATGTTTTACTTTTGTTCTTATTTTCCTTCAAAACTGTCCAAAGATATAAAAGTGGTCAATGAATTCAAAAGTTTTTAGCTTAAGAAATCCTCATGAAAAACACTACATAGGATTCTGAAGGATAAGATAAACATGATTTCCTGTTTTTTCTTACCAGTCTCAGTTTGTGCCATAAAAGGCTCCAAAAGAAAGCACTATTCAGATGTTTAAAGCATTTATTCATACATCAATATGATAAGGAAACCATGGATGATTGTGCACCCTTCACCTTCTTCACCTATGCCTACCTCAATGTGCTTTGGGTCAAAACAAACCTCTAACATACTCTGCCCAGATAAATAAAAATTCTAGCTCTAAAGAAATGAACATTATACAAGGCAGTTTCAGTATTGCCTTCATAAATCTGCTGAGATTAGCGTAAATAATTCTTTCTGATGGAAGAGTATTTGACAGTGCCTAACCAACCAYACCAAGACAATAATCAGACTACTAYGATAATCCCTATACTCCTAAAAATAGTTTTTTAACTTCAAATTTAATTAGTGCTCCTTCTGGGACTAACAACTCCATAAAAAAGAACCAAATGAGCTGGCATCCTCTACTACAGGACAAAATACCATGTTTCTGGTCAAATCTAGGTTTTCAAATTAATGAAGGGGCTGGTGGTAGTGGTGCTGGTGAGAAGGGAGGGAARCCATCATRAAAGATAGCCTTTATCCAGATAGAAGAATGATTTTAAGAAAAACAGAAATACACAGGTTAAAGTTTGCATTTAGGATCGCATAACCAAAGTAATGTATGGGAAAATGTATGTTTCATGCTTATAAAAACAAAAGCTCTAAGAACAACTGTTCTACATYTTTCCTACAGAATTATTTCAAACTTGTTCTATGTTACACCTAAGATTTTATACTGACCTTCATATTTCCTAGTCGTCTTGTTCTGTCAACCACAAGCAGCTTCTTAATAAGGTCTCTGAAGTAAAGAAAACATGTTCTCTGTTAAACAGAAGTAATTTATATTTTACTGTCATACAAATGTTACAGAATATAGACATAMCTCCCTTTCACCCATTCATTTCATCATATTTTAGGATATTTAAGAGTGTACAATAAATAAGAATCTAACAGATGCTAACAGAATTCTTGAAAATTTCTTTTAGACTCTTTCAAGAATCAAGGGAAAAAACCTCTCTCTCCTCTCCTGCCCCTCACTAAGAAGCACCATTTCTTTCTTTGTATTGTTGTATTTTGCTGGGCGTTCCAAATCTTAAAATGGACCTCTAATCTGATTGTCATAACACAACACTAATATATATTAAAAAAGCAGATAAAGCTGCACCCACAGCTTTATGCCAAACATCCAGAGAAACCATGGAAGAGCTAGCCATCTGCTTAAAACTAGTAACAGTTATAAGATCATTTCTTTGAAAACGCTCAAGAATGAGATACTGGTTCATTGAACAGCTCTACATAAAGCTAAATCAACATTTTAAAATAATAACAGAAATTTAGAGACATAAAACTCTTCCATTTTAATAGCAAAGTACTTCAAATATTAAGCACCAAGCCACTGCAACATAAACCAAAATAATCAGAGTTTATGRAATTATCTTGATTACTTATGAGCTGCAAGAAAAATATGCTTTTTATCTCAAAGATTATTTTACTATTTAATTTTAGAAAAATGGCATTCTGGTCCAACTGTAGAAATAAGGATGGTTAAACTTTTGTTCTTTCTTGTCGTTGCTACTTTATGCAACCTCAAAAAGTCCTGAGAGATGACATACAGCATGAAATKGAGTTTTTGAAAACTGTCTTTGMAAAGGAAAGTTTACAAAAGCAGTARGAAAAAGYKATACTCATGCTGCAGGAGGAAAAGCAGAAGTGGTACAAATTCAGAAAGTAAAAAGTGCAGGAGGGTGAGAAAGTAGGTGATTTAACAAATGTCAATGTCCATAAGCTCAAGTACTACGTATACCTAGAAAGAGGAGTGTTTTCAGAGTTCAGAAAGCAAAATAGTTTTGCTGCCTCACAACAGAAAGTTAAAACACTSTATAGCACTAATACTTCAGACAGCCTGGATGTGACAGGACCCAAGTTAGTCTTCTTTCTTGCTGAAATACTGACTTATTGGAAGATGAGAGAGAAAACAAGTGGAATAATAAAACTAAGGTAAGAAGCRGACTGCCTTCGTTGGACAAAATAATCTTGGCACTTGCTTCAAGTTAAGCATGCAGAAATGTTCAAAGACTATCAAGTTCTAAATATTGTGGTTTAAAAGAAGGAAGAGGAGCCAAGACATTATGCTCACAACTCACTGCAGAAAGCAAGTGAAGCCACAGAAAGAGTGTGGCYAGGACAGGACACAATGATTGCACCCTGGTACTTGTCACTGGTGAGGTCACACCTASGGCTCATATGTCCAGTTCTGGGCMACTCACTTMATGAAAGACATTGAGGTGCTGGAGAACATCCAAAAAAGGGCAACAGAGCTGGTGAAGGGTCTGGAGGGTAAGTCCTATGAGGAGGCTRAGAGAGCTGGGATTGTTTAGCCTGGAGAAAAGGAGGCTCAGGGGTGACCTTATCAGTCTCTATAACTGCTTTCACTATATTAGATGGATTGTTAGTGATGAAAACCTAATCTGGTCACAATATTATAGTTCAGTGCATAGAATACTACAAGAGAATCGGTTTTCTTTCCAAGACCAATTGGATTAGGAAGACCAGACAAGGAGACTACACAAAACTGGAAACAGTGTGAAGCTACTAAGAGAAAATTGGTACAAAGAGACAAAAAAGTGAGACGCTAGCCAGCGTAAGGGGATGCAAATATGCTTCATTCACTRCACCTGATGATTCAGTGGAGGCTTAAAATTCATTTTGCTTTTATCTGTTTACCCTGTAGTGACAGTAAGAAAGTGCCTCTCTAATGTCACCTTCAAAACATCATGAATGAATAACATAGGAATAATTTCCCGTCTTCACTCCTCACTCATTCACTCAGTTRTCTTTGGTTCTTAGGAGAAACTTCATGTTTAGAACTGCATTTCCTATGTTTTAATGTTTACTAAAAATTATTTCAGTTATGGAATTTTTAAATTAAAAAAARACTTTATTATATCTGCAATACACCTTTAATGACTACAAAACACTGAGAATTAAACYCACATCACATATATATGTAATACTGCATATAAAAATGGGCCTCTGCTAACATAAATTTAAGTTGATTTTTCACTAGAACTTCTGAAGTAGCAGAGTTCTTTCAAGTAATTATGTTGACAGTGATTTAAGTGGTATGTATCTATAGATAGATACAGTTTAGTGTTCGCTTCCTGCCCTTCTAATTTTTAYTCAAATTATCTCCTCATATTTCTCCTCTTTACTTTCTTAAAGTACAAGCCAGTGAGCCTTGTACAAGGTGGAAAAGCATTTAATATCCCATAATACACAGAAAAGAGTCAAACACTATCTTACAACTGCATCATGACCTTGAAATGTACCAGATATGTAAGTTAATTCACACTGCAAGTATAAATGTAATACAAAATATTTTCCAACATTGTATTTCAGAAAATCAGAATCTGAATTCAGATATTCTAAAAAGATTCTTTAGAAACAGTGCTCAGGAGGTGTTTAGAATAGGAAAGACAGTGTTGGGAGTCATGGACTTACTTTACATATAAATCCAAATGCCTTGGGAAATCTATTTTGCCAGCAAGAATCTTCTGATATATACCAAATGGATTATCATCAAAAAATGGAGGAAACCTATTTTAAYACAGAAAATTTTTAGAGGTTAGAAAAAGCAGACCAACAAATCTTATAAGCAGTATTATGTTATCGCAATTCCCCTCACACAACTGATTATTTTGTTCTTTTTGGTAGGACACCACCAATCAAATACTAATTAGAAGAATAACTTAAGGCAGTCATTGCAAAATGGAAAACATTTTTGAATGTAACACACTGAATGCAGAATTTATATTTAAATATAACAATAGAAAAATATTAAATTGTTACATTAATGCAGTAAAAATATAATTCATGAATCAAAAGTTAAAAGTAGAAAATGCTTTGCCTTTAACAGTAAAACCCAGGGATGTACTATTCAAAAGAGCATTACCATTTTTGATCTTGTCCTGTAACTGCAGGCACACCCTTATTTACTAGTTTCTGTCTAATGTGTTAAAGGACCTTCACATGAATACATTATCCAGTTCATGTTGTACTTATGAATTCAAGTACATGTTTTGCTAGATAAGGTTTTTGAAACAGACAGACTGCTCAYAACTCTCCAAGAGTAGCTGCCTTTCTGTATGGGACAGATAAGGTATTCATGTCATAATCTTCCCCATGATGAATAGCAAATTAAGTTGCAATTAAAATTCTGCATTTATATTTTCTATGAAGTTCTTTATGAAGTTATGAGCTAACAGAGAGACTACTTCATGTAGTACAGCCACAGTAAGAACTGAGAGTTTTCTGCTGTGCTTCCTCTCCTTATAGAATACATCCCCCGATTGCTGCAAGAGGCTCAGGGTATGGGTGCATCRCACAGCCAGCACAAGCAGCTGAGCACAGGTGCCAACACCTTTCTGAGTATCAGCCGTGTTTTTAAAAGTTACCACGGGAAACCTTCTAAAGGAATGGAATAACTACTCATTCACTAATCTCTGTCCTGCTTTGCGTTCTGCAACATGTACAAAGCAACCCTCTTACTATGCTGCTGTCTCAAAATCCCTACCGAATTAAAAAAAGCCCCAGGTTTTGAGTGTTGACAGTATTAATAACATGCAAACACTATTACAGCTTAATTAAAATATTTTCACATCTCCCYAATATTTTACAATTACTTTCTCAGAGAACTTAATGGTGTGCATACACAAAAACRCAGTGCTTGTGTCTTGGGAAATCACTGGTAGCATGAAAACAAAAATGWAAACAACATTTCCTCACTTCAGGCTTTTTAAAATTTTATGATACTCAAACTAGYTTACTCCTCAACAAGTACTATACATGATTTCCATTATGTTTTCTGAAGTATTAATTTCTTCATTATTCAGCTGATGATCAAGTGGATTAGCATTCCCTTTGAAATATTGTAAAATTTGGCCACGAAAAAGATCTAATTCCATCAGAATAGTTAAGTAAAAGTGTCTGTAGGCTTATTGTAAAAAAAAAAAAATAAAATAAGTAGTAATACAAAGCACTGACAAGCATGAACTAAACTATCTGGTYAGGCAAAGACTAAAGGACAGTTCTTGTTGAAGTTCAGAAAGCCAAAGCACTTTCCTTATGAAAAACTACTTTCCAGCTAATTAGAAAGTGGAAGAATCTCAGGAATAATACTTGTGCTAATAAAAACTCCTGCTTTGACACTAAAGAACAAGGAAAATGTGGTCAGTATTTAATGGGCACAAGTTTTTTTTCACACAAGAAAGATTATCATATAAACTTTATTTTTTAGTCAAGCAGTATTAATATCGTTCACAGTATTAATATTCTCCGCAGCAAGTTGACAAACTCAATTTTCTATTTGTTATTACTTATTAGAATCTATAAATGTGTAAAGCAACTAGAATGAGATTTTGTAGCTAATGTATTACAAAGCTGCCAGCTGCAGTTAGCAGATTACTGTACATAACTGAGATGTGAAATCAAGAAGAATAGAAGCATATATAATTTTTTTCATATTTACATGTTTAATTACTCTTTGTTTTTCCACTTTGAAAATACAAAAATATTGTGTCTAGAGTACTTGAGAGAAATTTAAATCATATTTGGCTATATAGCAATTTTGTGGCAATTCTGCTTAAAGTGCATTTGAACAATATGTGAAATGAGAACAGCTTTGAAAGATTAGTTTTCTTATGGACAAACCAAGTAACTTGATTTTGMCGCTTTTTGTAAATGTCAACCTTCTACACAGCACAGATTTTAGACAAAACAACGCAAGTGTTGTGCTGGAAGCTACCTAATAAATCAACAAAAATCCCCTTGAATTTCAGACTTTCTTCACACCACAACACAAATACAAACAGCTGCCTTCTTTTCACCAACTGAAAAGAAGCTACAAAAATATATTATCTCTGTAAATGGRAGAACAGCTGCAAACCATTCCTTTTGCTTACTGAAGCATAACAATGGCACAGACATAAGTCTCAAAAACAGTCTGAAGAACAACCTCAACTGAGGTTGTAAAACCTCAGGGGAAAACACACAGGTCTGAGAATATGAAACTGCAGACAGGAACCACTACCTACCTAAAATTACAAACCCCCATATCACAGATGACCACCAAAGCAAAGACAAAAAACACAAAGCCCTCATTAATACACAAAATTCCTATAAACTGCATATCTGGTAACAGTACAATTACAACCTAACATATCTAATGTTAAATAAAATGTACATTTTTCTCTGCAGTAAATTTTATCAGAATTMATTTACTGAAAACTAAAGAGATGTTCCAACTCTTGTATTAACAGTTTGTTTAGCTTGTTTAGATTAATTGCGTGAACTTGGTGTTATTCATCTGTTAGTATTTCTTCTCACCCTTGCTTCTCCCTGTCCTTYCCCCTTCCTATATCTTACTATGCTAAATCTAAATGGGACCTTGCCTTAAACCTAGTTTGTGCAGAACGATAATTCCATGGGTCTCCAGAGATAAATTTAGGGAAGTAAGACACTGGAGAACAGGAAGGTGTGGGTTTGTTTGTTTGTTTTTAGAGAGGCCATTTCCTTACACACACAYCTACCAATTCTTTTCAATTGCTTTTGGGCTTCAGGGAGACTAACTTCAGGAAATAACTATCAAATGTCTTACGTTAATTTACTTGCAGACAATAACTTAGTCTTGAAGTCAGGTTTTGTTCACCTTTAAAATATTTTCAGATTTCTTAAATCTTTCAATGGATAAAGTTAACAAGAGTTGGTGAAGACAAGTGTTTCAAAACACTACTGCCAAGAACTGCAAAAATATGATAAAATGCTAAAAGTATATACTCATTTTGACAACCTTCTCATCTAAAGGAAATACATACAATATAGTATTGCCATAGTCTCCGCCCTCTTTTAATCCCCTAAAATAAAATCATAAGAAAGTTAAGTAGCAATCTATATCCCCATCTCAGAAAAACCTAAAACAAACAAAAAATACCCCAAGTCCCAAACTTCCAAACACAAACACCCCAAACAAACAAGCTTGTGTGAAGTCCCTATCCCAGCTTAGAAAAATGACTGAATGCTGGTGCTTTTCATTTTTTAGTGTTGGATGGAGTTCCTATCCAAAGCAGCATTCAATCATTTTGAAGAGCATGTCTACACAAGTACTCTAGTAAAAACCCTTAGAAAATCAAACACAATAGACAGCTGCTCTGTCAATCAGCCCATATAAGATATATAAGTTGCCTTTTAGAAAAGGGTAATCTATCTTTTTTGGTTRAAAGTGTTTAAAAGCCAAAGTGTTCATATTAAGCCCCATCCCCCCATCCTGGATTTCAGGTCTCATCCATTGAGCCAGATAGYGTCATGACACAAAGATCCTACATAGAAACAACAGCAGCTGCTACTTTTTTTTTGTAAACTATATATACCAGACATATTTCAGTAGAATATATAGCAGTCATACTTCCGTGCCCTGCAGTCTTGAGGTCTCACTGACTCCAAATACCTTGCTTGATTACCATCTGTAGTTAGTATGTTAACTTTRTAAACCATGTTTCTATTACTGGTTAGTAGAGAGAATCATAACGACATCTCTTTAAGGCATGCAAATAAAAAAGGCCCARTATCCACTTACACTGAGACCACACAGACCTAACAGAGAGTGGTCCCACTGAAACCCGTGGCAGGAAGGTAAATCACAGCTGGGTGACTGCAGCACCTGYGCTCATATTACAATACCAGACACTTTTATCTACAGTCTTCCTGCTGTCTAGGACTAAGATTAGTGGCAACAAGCCTGCTGGGAATCTCTTATTCCTTTCATCTCTCTGAGAAGGATTCTCWTGACCAACTTGGGCTGCTCACCTTTCAGGGAACAATGGGAGAAAGGTGAAGCCTGGTTTCTGCACAGATCAGACTACATAAATAACATCTTCATACTTGACCATATCAACCAAGCTTGCCAAGGTCAGCCAGCAGCTATTATATATTTTTATTGCTCTTCTGTCCACAAATTGCCTTGAGATTCAAAGTCAATGCATATACAAGGCTTCAAGACATTAAGCAAGCTAGCAGTGGGTAGCAATGCTGCGCTGGGATAAAGTTGCTTTGCTATTCGGTGGAATTTGCAGCAATATATGCAATGGATTAGAGCTCTGAAGTGACCACCCATCCATCRGGGGAACTGCTTGCTCAAGCATTTTGATAAGCTTGTCCAAACACTGGAAGAGTCACCAAAGCCCCTTTGAATCTGGCAATACTGCACAGAGAAAAGAACAAATAAATCCAAGCAAGGACATTTTGTTCTGATCATTCTGCAAGGTTGCAGATTYATATGGAAAGGCCACAGAGGACACCTGACACACCTGGGGACTGAGAAGACATACAGCACACTGAGCCAGGTATCAGGAAGAAGTTCTAAGAACTATGAAATCAAACTGATGAAATATATTATGTTGCTTTGGAAGCTATAAAAGCCTTGCTTTCATCTGCATTTGTCCTATGACACCCACCATGGCAAAGCCAATTACTTTCCAAAATCCCAATCTTCTAATCTTCTGAAAGTACCTTCAAACAACACAGCCAAGACAAAAAAGAAATAAATAAATAAAACAAAACGAAAAAACCCGAAAACGAAAAACATGCAGATGGCTTGTTTAGTACACAAGCACAATTTCACATACTCCCTAAATCACTAAAAATATTTATTTATTGAAATCAGAGTAAATTGAGACAATTACTTTTATCTAACTAATACTAACAAGTCACAAACAATTATATTAACACCAGAAATTTTTTCTTCAGTTTGAATTTGTACAATTCTGGAAACATTGCTTATGAAATAAATTACAAAACACCAAAAGTAGCATTTGAGCGAAGTGATTTCAAACAAACCTATAAAGCTTTTCCCTTTTCTGTATCCCCCAGTTTAAAGAAAACCAGTGCTCGTAATAACACAAACTGTATTAATAAAAGCCTTCCTACTTGTTGCTATGCTTTTTAAAGACTGAAGCTCCCATTGCAACTGGGACTTCACTATGCTAGAAATTAATTACAGAAGTAGTCCTTTTCTTGACCCTTTAAATATAAAGATTTTATTAATAAAAATCTAAACTTTGACAAAATCTGAATTTCCTAAACAGGTCAGGAAAAGAAAAGCTGTTTAAAAAGTCTTAAAACAAAAGAAGAACCAAAATAACAAAACCAACAAACTCAAAAACCTAAAACATTCCCCGTGTTGCATGTTATGCATGTTGCATAACAACAACAGTGTTGCATGTTATTTTGTACAGCTTCCTAATTCCTTTWTTCAAAGGCAGAAATTAAAGTGGTATCAATAATAAATTTAGCCAAAATTTGCTAATCCAAACATTGTAAACAGAAATAGCAAATAATTCTGTATTACATAATATTATCACTTACCCTGACAACATCTCAAATATAAGAATTCCTAGAGCCCACCAATCCACAGCTCTTCCATGGCCTTTACTTTGTATAACTTCTGGTGCAAGGTACTCAGGAGTGCCACAGAGAGTCCACGTTCTGGGATTAAAAGAAAAAAAAAACAAAAAAACAAACCACAGAACAAACAATAAAACCAGATCAAAGTGAAACTGGAATAACAGTAATAGCAAAAACAACACACACATAAGAAGTACCCAACATATACCTATGTATTTACTCTATAAAGAAATAGAAAAATAAGAAAGGCCTCTACAAAATCTAAACAGACTGCTTCGATGATGCTCTCCAATTGTCCTAGAACAGAGATATRTGCAAACTAAGAAACTTCTTGTCTGCAGAAAATACCTGTGGCCTGAATTTCCCAGCTGGTGGTGTGGTACTCTATCCATTAGGCTACATATTGCTTTGAAATATTAACATTGTTTTTCACTCTGAAAGCTACAGACACTGGGAGTTTATGGACTATTTCTGACAGGCCCAGCAGAAGACAAGGTTACTGGCCTTTTCCAGCAAAAAAAGTTTCATTTAGAAAAAAAGGGGAAGCAGGGAGTTTTAAAAAAAAGTAGTAGTTTAAATAAGTAAATAATTGCACATACAAGAGAGATTTGTTTTATGATCTAAATAAAGTTTTTCAATTAGTATTGAAATTTAATCTGTCATCACTTCCACTATACCCATCACATGTGAAATATTTTGATTTTTTAGTTATTGAAAATATTTACAAGGTGTAGTTAATCAAGTGTGAGATAAGTAAGAAATACTATTTTTGAAATATTTTAATGCAATTTTTAGTCATAGCATTCTATAGTAAGGTCAGAATAAAACTTTATATTGCTAACTACTTGAAACTCAAATKCTATAAAGACATGAAACAAATTGAAGCTAAGCAGTTATGCTTAGAAGACCAAATACATCTGCAAATAATATTCTGAAATAATTTCTTACAGAAATGTGAACTTTTCTTTGTAAAACTGGCCATGTAGAATTTGCCTGGCTTCACTGCCTTGACTTAGGTTTAAATATACCTTGAGAAAAGAATGTGCTCTCATTTTGAATAAATTATCTTTGTCCAACAGCAAGTTGGAAGACAAAACCTTGAAAATGTGCTCACCAATTCAAGAGAAATTGATATCACAAGGAACAAGAAAGAAAATTGCATCACATTTTAAAAGGAGTTGTAGCTAGACATGACAAGGAATTTTGTCCCAAATGGCCACTGCACGTGATTTGTAACTTTCACCAAAAAAACCTCGGAGTATTTGTGAGAGGAAGAATCTTCTCCAAACTGGTAACACACTCCTGAACAAATACATTAAGATAAATAGGAATCACCTTTAAGAGTAGTACTAATACAACTTCTATTTTTCTGAGAATGCAGGGAGATGGTTGCTTCACCCTACTCTACGCTGATGTGGCCTCACCTTGAGTCCTGTGTGCAGTTTTGGGCACCACRATGTAAAAAAGACATGAAACTACTAGGGAGTGTCCCATGGAGGGCAACGAGGATGGTGAAGAGTCTGGAGGGGAAGCTGGGTAAGGAGGGGCTGAGGTCACTTGGTCTGCTCAGCCTGGAGGAGACTGAGGGGAGACCTCACTGCAGKKCACAACATCTTCACAAGCRGAAGCAGAGGGGCAGATCTTTACTCTTGTGACCAGTGACAGGACTCGAAGAAACAGCATGAAGCTGAGTCAGGGCAGGTTTAGTAGGATATCAGGAAAAGGTTTTTCACCCAGCGGGTGGCTGGACACTGGAATAGGCTCCCCAGGGAATTGATCACAGCACCAAGCCTGACAGAGCTCACTAAGTGTTTGGACAATGCTCYCAGGCACCGAGTGTCACTCTTGGGGGTGTCCTGCACTGGGCTTCGAGTTGGACTTGACAATCCTGATGGGTCCCTTCCAACGCAGCATACTCTATAATTCTAAGAAATATTTTTAAAGAGAGCTTTTGGGATGTTGTTTTTTTCCTGTTTTCCTTTCATTTGGTTGGTTTTTTAAGCCTTGGGCTTGATTCTTATAAATAGTTAAGATAAAGGAAGAGCAGTTGTACAGTCAGTTAAGGTTTTAAATGAAGAATTATGACTTGAATTTCAATTTAAGCTTCATGTTACTATGGTGAAAGCCAAATTACTCCATCGAAACTGTCAAAAGTGTTAGACATGCTTTGCATCTGATGTGCTTCAAGGTTCTTGAAAGTATATTTATTAGTGTAAAGAAACATCTTTAATTGTAGTCATAAATTTATCTAAAAAATAAAAACTCACACTTTCCAAAGCAAGCATACTGATTTCTTACATACAGCATTGCTTTACACTACTGCCATCTAGCAGTTGCCTACATCAGGACTATGGAATTAAGTATAATAGCAAAGCTCTGTCATCTTTTAAAAAGAAGGTATTTTCCCTCYCCCAAATTAAAAAAGCTGTATCCTTCATGTGACCTAATCATACTGATTTAGCCAGCTATGCAAATGAATCAGCTGACAGTTTTACTGTATTTAGGAAGAAGGTGATTTTCATTCTTTATCAAGGTCATTTACATACCAAAAAATTAAAAAATCAACCTAATATTTGACCATGACTTCCAGGACCTAGATAATTTAGGACAAATTAGGGGATAATGTAACTAAAATGACTCTCAATTGCCATACAGGTTATTCACAAGATCTTTTTATTCAAGCAAGAGGAAAACTGTGAATTAGGGCCAACATAATTTGAAGTCACCTAGCTTCACTAGGAAACAAAATTTATTACCACTAGTAGGTTAACTACTTCCTTAATTTCAGTAAAGAAATTTATGTTTACTAACTACACAAGAACTTGGAAGAAGCTCATTATCTTTTTTAAGATGTGTATTCATGCCATAAGATCATGACTTGTGTTTCCTCTTTTGCTGGTCATGAAACAAATTATTTAGTATTTTGGAAAACACATCACGTAAATGCTGCAAAAAGTTAATATTTTAAGATTATTTACTTATAATTACTATTTTATGACTACTGCCTATTCATCTAAAATTCCAGATAATCTTTTTGAAGACAAATTACAAGCAGAAGAATAAGAATAGACTGCTCCCTTCAAACTACTACAAAATATTCACTGCTCTGGATTTTCAAGATAAAAGCTGAAATGATAATTGCTAAATGATAATTGCTAAGGTTGAACATGCAATTTTAAAACATAAAATAAAATGAAGAATCTACTCTGGTTACAAAGGCAAGCTACAAAATAATTTTGTGAAATTTTTGAAGAGTACTATGTGAATAAGTCTTGATGGTTAATGTGTTTCAGCATTCCACACCATTCACCATCCATTTCTGTGGTACTCGACAAGCTTTTTGCGTATGAGCCAGATGAACAACTAAGTTTGTTTTGGTATTCTGGCAGTTTCTCTATAATTATATTTAACAAAGATTGCTTTGTATCCAGCCCACAAAAGTTTGTTTGCAAGGCATTCTTGTTTGCTTCCACAGTGACAAACAACACACTTTGTAAACTAGACTTACTGTGTCTTACTTAGTCTTTTTCTCTTCAATCCACTGTGAAGAACAGTCATGAGGCACATCCAGCTTAAGCAACAGTGCAGAACTATCCCCAATATGTTTAAGATTAATCACTTCTCAAGTTTCTAGAAAGACTCACAGGTAAATTTCTTTTTTAGGAATGTGAACTGAATAAACTAAAATTCACAGTGAATAACATTCCAGGGAAGAAAAAAATCACTGAAGTCTTAATTTTACCTAAAACTTTTTTGAGTGAAATCTGTCCATATAAAAAATATAAAAATTCCATGCAGATTAGTTTTGTGCTTCTCTGAAAAAACATGGGAATTTAAAGAAAACCCCCAAAAACAAAACAAAAAACTCCAAACATCCAAACCAAAACAAAAAATCCAACCAAAAACCACACCAAAAAAAAAAAGAAATCAGATCAGAAAAAAAAATTCAGTGAAAATACTGAGCCCAAAAAGTGGTATATACTTTTCAGAAAGAGAAGGGTCTACAAATGTAATAGCTGTAAAGTTCAAAGCAAATCCTTTTTACAGCCTTCAGGTAACAGTAATTTATAAAAACCCCCTCCCCATCTTTCTTCTTGACATTGCCCTTTTTTAAAATGAGTGGCACATCTATTTTATATGAAAGTACTTACAAGAAACTGAAAAGGTTATTAAGTCTTCAGTTAAGCAACATCAAGGTGGAAAAGAGAAGAAATAAACAGCAGCTGAGGCAAAGACACACTGTTTTGGAGAAAAATTTAGAATTTTTAAACGTACACTATGMGTGAAAAGGGAGGAACAAGGATAAACAGAAGGACATACCATCAAGGAACAGAAGGAGTAAAGAAAACCTCCTCTCTTTCCTCTGTCTCTAAAAAGAAAATGTTAAGAGTCTAGCCCTTCAGAAATTATACTARTAAGAAAGTACAGGTGCAGGCTGCTTTCCACAGTGGGAACATGAGCTATGGGCCAGACACTCTTTCTAAAGAGGAGCTTAACTGTAGAGAGACATGGTAGAAGGGGACATTTCATCCCTTCACACATGGTAATGGGAAGAAAAGAAAATGTGAACAGAAAAACCTCAATTAGGCAGCTACAGAATCATTTATGTAAACTGTTATGTATCTGGACAGTGCAATTGGATCAAAGGCCTTCTGCAGACCACATTTTGATTTACATATTATGTCTTCTCTCTAGCAATGTGTTTGCTGATCCTGAGAGCAGGTTACCTCAAAATGTTTAAAAAACATGAATACTTCATGTCTTCTTTTTGCAATTCATGTACACTGTACATATGCACACAGCTATACACTCACTGACATACATACATRTAAGATTCACATGTACAGATGTTTGCCATGCATAAAAATTACAAAATATCTCCTATACTTTGGATGAAATAGTCCACACCATCAATGAAGGCACCTACTGGAGTGCAATAGTGGATTAAAGGGCTGATAGCTGTGTATTTCTACAGCAACAAAATCAGCGTTACGAAAATAACTTCAGCTAGTGGGGAGGATACGATGCAGTTCCAAAAATCCTCAGTGACACAAAAAACTAAACCAGATTTGCATAGGTAACTACCTGTGCTCTAACTGATAATGTCCTTGCTCATTCCAATTTTATGTTCTGTATTTGTTACCTGTTGTATATATGTAGRTAAATCAGGTAAGAATAGAGAACTACTATAATGTTATTCAATACAAACTGATTGACTTCACTGCCCCCCAAGGAACATAAGAAACAAAAAAGCAATTAAAAGCAGTAGTGCTAACTTTAAGTTTGATGTCCTAAAATGTATTTGAACAAATTTAGAGATTCAAATCTTAGAGATTCATCTTCCAGGTTTTAAAATATATTCTGATGTGAATTATCACCTTATTCAATGAAGGGTTACTTCCCCTGTGCCTTAAACCATAGAAACACAAAATAGAATTACCACTAAGTGGCAGTATTTACAAGAGGAAGTCATAAGAATTCGTATGAAAATGTCTTATAAAGAGACTGCACTACTTTCTTCCATGGAAGTATGTTACCTCTTCCTGCAAAAAGTTATTTTGATCAAAAAATGAAATATTTTAAAAAGGCACAATTTGTAGACCTTTTTGCTTGCCCAGTGGAAACTGAATTYAAGTGTTCATAATAGAATTCTATGGTTTTAAAACAGATTTTCACACCTTAAAGMTGAATAGAAACTTCGATTTTATTTTCTGATTTAATTTGTCTCCTCTGAATTTTACTTCCTAAGGGATCCATTAGGTAGCTTCTTCAGATCCACCCTGCTCTCAAACTTGTACAATTCTCCTCACACACTGACCCGTTTGTTGAAAAAGCAGCGTCAAACAGGTACACTGTTGAGCAGAGAGGATGAGCATCTTGCATCACCTGCGCAAAACTAACTCCTCACCACACTGCCTCAACCAGAGCAATCAAATACGGTCTCTCTCAAAGATGACTCAAAGGCCTAGCACCAACCTTGTCACACCACTTTGCTGATACGACAGGCTAGTTTTTATCTCCCTTTTCTTGAATCCCAATGTTCTTGCTTACTCTTAACATATATTACAGTCTTGGAAGAGTAGTCCAAACAGAGAGAACAGAGAAAACACTGAGCAGGGGCAAAATATCTACATTATTAAAAAGTTTACATATGCTATTAAAGCTGCCAGTAATACAAAAGGAAGATTTAAATAAATCAGCTGTGCTGAAGGTAGCTGTATTGTTTCAGTTTAGATTTTTGCAGTTTCATTTTAGCAACAGGCTATTGAAAACACTGCATCCAGTTAAAAAAATTTTATTCCTACACTTCAAAAATCTCTAAAAGGGAACTAGAAGGAAACATGAGTCGCAACACATACAGCTATTCAATATGTATGGAGGATTAATTTATGTATCTTAATATTTGCTCATATTAGTTCACTGAACTCCCTTTTTACAACACGACTGCTGAATACTTAAATTTACACAACCAGCTATATAAAAATATTTTTCTGTGGTTGCTTATGTATGATATTGCTCCTAGTTATACCTAAGGGGTAATAGTGGCAAATCATCATTTTAAAATTATTTCCTTCATATTAAGGAATTTCACATGTGTGAACTGCATGAGTATTAAACGAAATGCTGAGCACCTGAAATCAAACTACTTTTTTTAATGGTTTAGCATGCAAAATGTATTTACCATAACAAAAACCCACTTACCTGTCCACCAGCTTTTTTGCAAATCCAAAGTCAGTAAGCTTGATATGTCCTTCTTTGTCTAGTAATATATTTTCAGGTTTTAAGTCTCTGTAAACTATTTCTTTGGAGTGCAGGTATTCTATTGCACAAATAATTTCCGTAGAGTAAAACAGTCCTGTGCTGTTGTTGAAACGCCCCATGTTGCGGAGGTAACTAAAAAGTTCTCCTCCCGGCACATATTCCATTAACATATATAAAAAACGTTCATCGTGGTTGGTCCAAAATCTGTAATAAAAGTATTATTTTATTAGAATAAAGAAATTATGTCTCTGATTTGCTTCGTAAGTAAATGTCTGTAAAATAGTCTCTTTTGCCCCAGCTGTGTACGTGACTAATTTCTGATTCGTTGTCTGCAAATATTAAACCCCCAAGAATCCAGCAGGATTATGTAAGACATTCAAGTAGCCACCTTAACCTGCAATGTAAACCAGATAGCTGAGGATAGGTACAGCATAAGCCAAGAAATAAATGGATAGATTCTGTTTCATTGCACAAAACAGGTCTYTGCTAAGCACAAATAACTGACTTGATAGAAAGACCAGACATTTCTTACACACGTTACATTTCATACTATCAAACACTGCCAGAGTTATGGGGGTAGGCAGAATCTACTTTTGTAAAGACTTTCATGACAATATGTTCAAAACCAGACATCAAAGAGATGTCCTTCTCCTCTCTTCCTCTCCCTTCTTCCCAGGAGATTCATGATCCCAACTAAAGCATTAGATGACAATGCTTGCTCTTCTATGGTATCTTTCGTAACAGCAATAGAAAAGCAAAAATGACACCAAAACAAGATCCATTTCTGTACCTAAGAATTAATCTAAGGATAGGTAACTTCCATTCCTTAGACTGCTACTTAATTTAAGAGCCATTATTGTGGTAGTCAGAGAACAGTAAAGAACAGGTAAGAAAGAAAGAAAATAATTCCATGTGACTTTAAAATGTTTCATTACAGAATACAGGATTCTTCTTTACCACACTCTCCTAAATTAAACTTGTTTTCTTTCTATCTACATTAAACAACTCACATATCACACCCCTAAATGTAGCTCAACAGCTAAGAAGAAAATAAGTATCTGGTAACATCTCTAACACTACCATTTAAAACAAAGGATCATCCCTAATTCTACAGTAAAAGACAGAGAACACTGTATCCCTACCTAGTTTACTGATGCAGTGATAYAAGAACAGAAACTACTTTAGCTTCTAGTCAGTGCTTCTGCAATATCACAAGTACCTGGTACTAAATTGTGGCATAGAGCCCAGGGAAAGATAAGCAGAACAAACAGAGCTCCCTAACACATTAATGACTCTTACTCAGTAAGATTTCATTTTTTGATACTGCACTAGGCAGCCAAGGAAATAAGATAGACTATCATACATCAGCTACAGCTCTTCCATTSCCTCTGTGATGGAGAAAGCAGAGCCCAGGCTTGCCTTCTGTTTTGATGGAACTTCTTCCCTATCACAGTTATCAACATCACTAATTGGCTATTGAAGATGTTCACAGTATCTTTATTGACTATGCAAACACACTCGGAAAATGTGTTTTAGGTAATTGAGCAAAGCTGTACTTACAATAAACAATGAAAGAAGAGCACGAGTAGGTGAAACAAAGCAAACCACATTTATGGGAAAGGAAAAGCAGAATCTAACAATACAGAGGGGAAAAATGGAACATCTAGACCATTAAGCACAGGATTTTTACTGGAATTTAATTCTTCAAAAATTGACAAAGATTTGTCTGTCCACAGAACAATGGACACATTATTTGGTACACATGAAAAAG